AAGCAGATGAAGAAATTAAAGTTAACTATTTATAGAAATGATTTAAAAGTTAAATAATAATGATGAATACTCACCTACTCAGTTGCCTATTATGGGCCAGACATTCTATTAAATTACCAAAGCCCTATTCCCTATGTGAGGAACAAAGTCTCAGCCGGGCGGTGGTGGCGCACGCCTTTAATCCCAGCACTCGGGAGGCAGAGGCAGGCGGATCTCTGTGAGTTCGAGACTAGCCTGGTCTACAGAGCTAGTTCCAGGACAGGCTCCAAAAACCACAGAGAAACCCTGTCTCGAAAAACCAAAAAAAAAAATAAAAAATAAAAACAAAGTCTCCAAGAAATGAAATAATCGGTCCATCCACAGTCACACGGCTAATGAAACGCCTGCCATCCATTCTCTTTCACGCTGAGACTTTGGAGTCGGCTGTGATAATTCTGAATGGAGAGGGAAGTGACATAGGGCATGAAGTATGTCCACTGGAGCTGGACAGACCCAGGGAAGTGCAAAAATAATAGCTGGTGTATGTACCAGGACCTATTCCCAGAACTCTTTTCTTTTGAGACAGGGTCTTACATAGCCCAGACTTGCCTTGGACTCATTCTGTAACTGAGGACAGTCCTCCTGCCTTCACTTCCCAAGTGCTGGGATTAAGGTGTGCGCCACCATGCTGGTTATACCCTTCTCGTGGCTTGATGGTTGAACTTGGGGCTTCACACGTGCCCGACAAACATTCTATCAACTAAACTACATCCATAGCCCTTTTATGTGTAATCTTCATTTTTAAAAATCCTATGAATTAGGCATTGTTATTTTTCCCGTTTTACAAGGAAGAAGCTAAGGCCTCACCCAAAGTTTGCTCAAGGATAGAACCATGAAAAAGTGTGGATAACAGGAGACAGCAGTTATTAGAAGTCATCTAAGGGACTGCCTCATGGTGACATGCTGAACTGGAGAGCAGAGAGCTGACGCCAAAGACCACGCTTTCAGTGGTTGGGATATGGCTCAGTTGATAGCGTTTGCCTACCATGCAGAAAGCTCTGGATTATATCAGGAACTGCATAAAACTGAGCATGGTGACTCAGGCCTGAACCTCAGCACTTGGAGGCAGAGGCAGAAGGATCAAAGGAACCCTCAGACACACTGCAAATTTGGCTTTGGGCTACATGAGATGCTGTCTCAAAACAAGCATCAAAACCCCCATGCTTTGAAAAATGATTTATTGATTTTTGTTTTATGTGCATGAGTGTTTTGCATGTATTATGTATGCCACATGTGTGCCACAGAGGCCAGAGAGGGGGCTGGATGTCCTGACTTCAGAGTTGTGGACCACTGTAAGCTGGGAACTGAACCAGGGTCCTTTGCAATAGCAGCAGGTACCCTGAACTGCTGAGTTGCCTCCTCAGCCCTGGCCCCGGCCTTTGTTTAAGGGGGAGAAGTTGAGACTCTGCTGTGTTTATAGCCCTGTGTGAGGCACTGGGAATACAGAGATAAAGCTGACTCCATGTCCAGGCTCATCCATGACTACATAATAGGATTTCCAATTAGTTGGGCATCAACCAGATCACAAGATTTTTTTCATTAAAGAGTTAGGGCATAGACCTGGGCAGACACATGAGACTAAACACTTTTACAGACACAGTTCAGGGGCAGTGCAGGAGCCCAGAACTGGCTAGACTCCTGGATCAGGAAGAGTGGTTTTATTCTAATCTTCTACGACAGGACTCGAGGACTGAACTTGAGAATACTGGGAGCCTGTGGCATTGGCTCTAAGAACAGGAAGCAGAGGCAAGAGCATGGGAGAAGCAAAACACGTTTTGAAACAGTGTTTATTAGGTATGCATACACAGAGAGGGGGGAGGGGGAAAGGAAGGAAAGAGAGAGAGGGAGAAGTAGAGGGGAAGGGAGGGAGAAAGGGAGGGAGGGAGGGAGGGAGAGAGAGAGAGAGAGAACACACGTAAATATGGCACACGGCAATTATTCCTCTTACTTGTACCTAGGTTTCCAGCTTTAGGTGTATACACTCTCAGTCATTAATGAGCTTGAGAGTGTGCTTGCCAGATGTCTTAGGGAGAAGTGCTCCGTGTGGTCAGAAGGATAATCTGGGAGCAACTGGGATGAAGAGTAAGACTCTCAAAGACTTTGCTGAGAAGATGCACATGCAAACTTCAGGCTTGGTTTTATTAACTCAAGTTATACAAGTCTAGGCCAGAGCTGAGTGGCTAAGAGCATGGAGAAACAGTACTTGTGGGAACAGCTGTTGCCCTTTTTCTTCCTCCTCCTTTACCTCTTCTTCCTCCTCTCTCTCTTCTTTCTCTTTCTCCACCTCTCCTTCCTCCTCCTCCTCCACCTCTTCTCCTCCTCCACCTCTTCTACCTCTTTCTCCACCTCTCCCTCCTCCTCTGCCTCTTCTTACTCCTCCTCCACCTCTTCTTCCCCTTCCTCCACCTCCTCTCATGCCCCACTTCCCACCATTCTTTAAATGCCTGAGTATGCACAGGCACAAATCCCTCCATGGGTTGGTGAGATGGCTCAGTGGGTGAGAGCTTCTGTTATGCAAACCTGACTACCTCAGTTCCATCCACAGAACCCCCAGGCGGAAGGAGAAAACTGCCTCAACAAAGGTATCCTGCAACCTCCACACATGCACATGCTCCTCCCCTTCACACACAGACATGATAGGCAGATAGATGATAGATAGATGATAGATAGATAGATAGATAGATAGATAGATAGATAGATAGATGATAGCTAGATGATTCATAGATAGATAAAACCTCTCTACTGGGAAAACCTCCCTAGGAAAGTCCCTGGTGCCCTCCTTATGCACATCTTTAGGTGAGGCTTCTGGACCCAGTGCAGGCAGGCTCCACCGACAGGGATCTCATGTTGTTTATTATACATTGTTTTGTTTTTCTGAGTACCTGATAGGACTGTATTGTCTTCCCCTTTAAAAGTTGTGTCTGGATATTTGATGTGCTTCACCTAGTGAAATGGGGAAAAGAGAAGCTCAAAGAACTCACATGTGGTTCCTGCGCTGTCTTCCCCTGGGTAGCGGCTCTGTCAGTCTTTATCCTGAGCACAGGAAGACGCAAAGCAGAGCACCCCGCCAACCCTTGATGGGTAGGCACCAATGATGGAAGGAAACAACTGTGTTCCAGCAGCTAAAATTACAGAAGAGCCCAGCCAACCCCGATAAAATGATCTCTGCTTTCTGACATGGCCTGTAACTTTCCCGGCACTGCTTTTCCTCACCTGAATTCAGATCACCTTTTCTTTGACCACTTCTGATGACATATTGTCTCCTATTGCTAATGACTAGTTCAGTGATAAGTAAGCCTCTCTATGAAGCTCCACCGAGGCTTCCTGAGAACAGGGATGATGTTTACTCCTGTGGGACCTCCCTTTTCCTCGAGGTCCACTGGCCACCAGACCACAAGGATGAAGGGAGCAGAGGCAGCACGCAGGGCTTTGTACGGCTTGAGGGTACAACAGAAACTAGCCTTCCGGGAGTCTGCTTCCCCACTTTATTTCAGAGGAAGGGGCATATATTGGATGGAGACAGGGCTGGGGCAACACCTAATTTGCCTTTGGTAGCAGGGTCCTACCACACAGCTGGAACACAAGCCTGTAGCCTGTAAGGTCATAGGCTCTAGCAGAGAAGCTATTGCTGGTTTTCCTAAATGGACAAGTTATGTACATCCTATTGCTGCCAAATATTTCTGTCCATGCCAATAGAGTAGTCCTGCCATCAGCTTTCCTCAGAAGGCTCACTTTGCAGTGAGGAGTAGCACCTGTAAAGACTCATACCCGGCTGAGTGCTGCGAACACGGAGCTGCTGACTGGGACTTCAGTGCTGAGGAAGGAGTGGGCTGAGGCAGAATGCTGTCTTTGGAATATCACGTTGTTGCTTCACTTTTGTTTTGAACTAATGTGTAAGCGTGAGTGTTCTCTCTCTCACTCGGGCATTGCGCATGTGTGGAAGTCGGGGAACAAGCTGCTCGCATCCATTCTTTCCTTCTACCATGTGGGTCCAGGACATTGAACTTGATGGACACCCCGACTCACGGAGCCATCTCATCACATCAGCTGAGATTAACAGTATAAGACTTATGCAAGGTTGGGTCTGTCAATATCCTGTCGAGAGAGAGGTGGGGGGGCTCTTGAGCTTCCTCTGACCAGGAACTGTGGACAGATAATGGTATCTAAGTGTGTGTGTGTGTGTGTGTGTGTGAGAGAGAGAGAGAGAGAGAGAGAGAGAGAGAGAGAGACAGAGACAGGGTTATGAGGCCCCACTCTTCCTTGAGTATCCTAATAGGGTCTTGATGGCTGCTGTAGGAGGAGAAGCATTTCCTTTAGAGTATAGTCACTGATAGAGAGCCCATACTTCTAAAAGCAGTTCCTCTGCCATGACCCTATAAGTTACTCTGATGGAACTCTTTGCTCATAAAAAGTAAAGAAAGGAAGGAAGGAAGGAAAGGAAGGAGGGAGAGAGGGAGGGAAGAAAGGAAGGAAGGAAGGAAGGAAAGGAAGGAGGGAGAGAGGGAGGGAAGAAAGGAAGGAAGGAAGGAAGGAAGGAAGGAAGGGAAGGGAGGATAGAGAGAGAGAGACTAGGTGGGAAGGGAAAGGAAATCATCAAGAGTGGGGGGGCAGGAAAGGGTAATGGGGGTATATATAATAAAAATACATGTAAATATGAAAAGGCCATATTGAAACCTATTATTATGTACAGTCACTATATGCCAATTAAAGTGAGGATATAGGGTTTTTAAAAATACAATGATTATCCATTTACATTTCTCCTGTGAATTATTCATGCCTCTTGGCCATTTTTCCATTGGAGTGCTAATTATTTTCTTAGTGTTCCTCCAGTTATACCACAGGGCAATAAGCATAAAGACTGCTTCTTAAACATGCCTTGGATTGTTAGTTAATTGTCTTGGGGACTTTTCAGGATGCCAGTCGACTTCCTAGGAGACTGATTCCTTCCTTTTCTCACCCAGGATACAGCTGGGCAAGAGCGATACAGGACCATCACCACAGCCTATTACCGTGGGGCCATGGGCTTCATTCTGATGTATGACATCACCAACGAGGAATCCTTCAACGCCGTCCAGGACTGGTACAAACCAAATTCATTCACTAATTCCTTCACCCAATTGTTCATGAAAACCTAGCCTGTGGTAAGCCTGTGCTATGTGTCAAGGAAACCCAGGTAAATCGGTCATGGCTCCCAATTTTAAGATGGTCTCACAGTAGAGGGGAAAAAAACATCAAACTAGGCGTGGGCCACGGAACTGTCAGGTGACAGGTGTTGTCCTGCTTTGCTCATTGCTGCCATGGTTAAATACTGACCAAAAGTTACTTGGGGAGGAGGCTGTTTATTTTGTCTTACAGCTCCCAGGTCACAATATTTATCACAGAGGGAAGTCAGGGCAGAACTTGAGGCTAGAGCCTGAAGGTAGGAACTGAAGCAGAGACTACGGAGGAATGCTGCTCGCTGGCTTGCTCCCAGCCTTGTGGCTTGCTCATACAACCCAGGACCACCTGCTCAGAGGTGGCTCTGCCCTCAGTGGGCTGGGCCCTCCCACATCAATCATTAATCAAGAAAACGCCCCCACAGACTTGCTCACAGGCCCCTGATGGAGGCACCTCAGCTGAGGTTCCCTCTTTCCTGGTGGCTCTAGTGGGTGACAACTGACCATCTTCTTCAATACCAGTGTCAAAGAGAGGCATACAGGCGGTGGGAACCCAGAAGAGGGTGCTCTCTGGTCCAGCCACTGGAGTCAGGGAAGCCATCTTGGGGTTGAGGACATGTATGCTAAGTTCTGGAAAATAAACAGGAGTTAGTCTGAGGGACAAATGGCTAAGAGTTTCTAGAAAAAGAATACAGACGTGCGAAGATGAGAAAGTAGGTAAGAGGTTAAGAGAAATGTAGGCCATGGGAGGGTTTGTGTAAAACGTTTGAATTTTACCCTGTAGACAATGATATTGGAGTTTGAAATGAACTAGTTCCAAGTTTTGTTTCATAATGACTCCTCTGGCTACAGCGGCCAATGAGCCCACATAGCTTCTGTCACTTGGGCTGGGCTTGGGCCCAAGAGTAAATCCAGTCCAAGTTCAAAAGGATTCCACTGGCAATGGGAATCATCACAACACTCCAGAGATACAACCTCTGAGTCACTGACACCTTTCTTCTTGGGGTACCACTTGCGGGGACACATGAGACATAAATGAGAAGGAGGGGACAAGAGAAAGTGGCATGTCTGTGTCATCACTGTTCTTTAGCAACAGCGGAGCCGAGTGAGCCGTGTAGCCAGCAACAGTTGACCAGCTCTAACTTTGTCTCCTTTCTGCTCATTACTGTTTTCCTTGTCTGGTTTCTGTTACTATAGCAACATGGTGGGGGTGGGGCGGGGCTTTATATAGCAAAGATATTTGCTAGCTCACTGGCTTGCAGGCCCAAAGTCTAGACAACATGGCACTGGGTCTGGCAGGGGCCTCCTGGCTGTACCATGTCATGGCCATGGCAGGCAGCATCAAACTTATGGGAGCATAAGTAAGAAAGATCGTAAGGGAATTCAGGAAGCTGGGGAAAGGTTTGTTCTTTTGCAGTTCTCATAAGAACTAATCAGGATCCCTGATTATACCCATCCCTTCGTGGCCTAATCGCTTCCCACTGGGTCTCACCTCTTTTGATTGTTTTGGTGGTTTTTGAGATAGGGTATCACTAAACCTTCCTTAATGTCTTTCCTCTACTTCCCTCCCTCTCTCCTTTCCTTTCACTATTCCCTTTTTCTCTTTAGTCTCTCCAGTCATGACCACCCCCTCCTTCCCTTCCAGTCTTTGTCTGCCTTCTCTGTGTCTCTCCGTACCTCCTGTGGAGCGACCAGGAGTCACCCACCCTGCTCCTTCCCTGTCGGCCATGACCCCTCTCCTCTCCACCAGTCTCTGCTCACGCTGCCTCAGGAACACGGTGACTTTAACACCTAAACCTAGCGATGGTTTTCTAAGAATAACCCGAGCTCACTGCTAATCTGGGAGCTGAGAGAGGCTGAGGTGAAAGGAGCAGGGGATGATGAAAGGGAGGGCAGAAGACAACAGTCAGGGGTTGGCTTCCAGTGCCTGCCTTGAGATCGAGTGTCCATCGTTCCCAGATACTGACCTTTGAGTTTGCTTCCAGACAACTTGGTCTCAGTCACCCGAGCCCCAATATGCAGCGAGGCCTGTCTCTTTGTGAGCCCTCAGCAAATGCTGACCGAGTGAATTTTGTCTCTTAAGGGAATGAACGGCCTTTTGCTAGATGAAGTCAGTGGTGGGGTTGCTTTGAGGAGCAAAATTAGGACTAGGTCCACGTTGGAGCTAGGGTCTAGCCAGACTGAATGTCCATGTAGGTAGGGCCAGAGTCAAGTTCTGCCAGGATTAGTCATCCGCAGACCAGACACTCACCAATCATCCACTGCCACCCCGTCTGCCCTCTGTTCTGGAGGCTGGCATCCCAGAGATGCCGAGGCCTGTCGTTGCCCCTACTCCCTGGAAAGAGTTTAGTCAAGCAGAAGAGATGTCATGGTGAAGGCACAGGGGATTAAAGGGGATCATCTCACCTAATGGGGGAGTTAGATTGAGAATTAGGCCCAATGTCTACGGTATAGGGCCCTATTTTATTCTTCTAAATTTTTCTAATAATAGAAGTTAAACCTGTCCGTTTTGAAAAATGTACAAATATTTGAAAGGTGTTTTTTAAAGGTCTCACTATAGAGCTACAATGGTGGCTCACACCTCAGATCCACACTTAAGGGATTAAGGCAGCAAGAGCTCCATGAGTTGGGGCCAGACTAGGCTACCCAGTGAGGCCCTATCTCAACAAACAAACGTCTCATCATTGAGCCGGGAGTAGTGGCTCATATCTGAAATCCTAGCACTGGGAAGGCTGAAACAGGAGGATCACTGAGTTTGGGGGTCAGCCTGTGCTACATACTGAGTTCCAATCTAGCCTGAACTACAGTGAGACTCTATTTCAAAGTCAAAGTCTCAAAATAAATCAAGCCTTATAGTCTCCTTATATAAATAGAACTATTTAGCACCTCCTAAGGACTTGTATATTGGGGCAGGATTGCATGCAACTGGTAGGGGTATGTGTGTGTATTAAAAGGCTGGAGGGAGGGAGTGGCTATAATCTCAGGTCAGTTTGTGTGTGTGTGTGTGTGTGTCTCCGTGTGTGTGTCTCCTGAGGGGCTGGAGGGAGGGAGTGGCTATAATCTCAGGTTAGTGTGTGTGTGTGTGTATGTATTGAGGGGCTGGAGGGAGGGAGTGGCTATAATCTCAGGTCAGTGTGTGTGTGTGTGTGTGTGTGTGTGTGTGTGTGTGTGTGTACTGAGGGGCTGGAGGGAGGGAGTGGCTATAATCTCAGCTCAGAGTCTGATGACCTTCCCACCACTCTTCCAAGGGCAAAGCTTCCTCAACAGTGTGTTGCAACCCCACATGGATTCACATAACTGAACATAAGGATCTTTAAAAAACTAAACAGCAAAATGTGTCTGAACACACATGACCGAAATCTAATTCAAAGCCAGACATAGCAGGAGTCTGAGCTGTTTCCGGCAGTGCAGCCGCACAATTTCAGGACAGCCTTGATCTGAACACACAGCACCACACTGTGCTCAGCATCTGATGGTAGCAAATTCCTTCAACCCTGGCACTTGAAAGTCAGAGGCAGGGGGATCTCCACAAGTATGAGACTAGTCTAGTCTACATAGAGCGTTCCAGGCCAGCTAGGTCTATAGAAAGAAACACTATCTCACGTTTTTAAACAGTTCTTTAAAAAGGATCTGTGCATTTTTATTTGAGATGCTTGAGTGTTTTTCCTGTATGTATTTTACGTACCACACGCAAGCACTGCCTATGGAGGTCAGGAGAGGGCATCAGATTCCTCCTGGACCTGGAGTTAGGGACAGTTGTAAATTGCCCTGTGTGCCGCACATGGCGCCCCTGTGTCTGCGCTCTGTGAGCTAGAACCCAGTTCGCGAGCTTCGGGCAAGGGGCTGGAGGTTGAGAATACAGACGCAGAGACGTACTGACACACACAGACCTTTTAACACTGGTACCAAAGCCCCAAGAATGCCCCTTTATTGTGTTCAGGGGCAGATTATATAGAGATAGCCACGCCCCAGCCAAACCCACCAGAAACCACTCTTCTGCCATCAGGAACTCCTGAAGGTCTCGTGCTCAGAGCAGCTGTAGGCACTCAGATCAGGGGAAAACAAGTTGTTTACAAGAAATTCAGGATCTGGGGTCTCACTGCTCCCAACACCTGTGGGCCCTGAGAACCAAACCTGGGTCCTCTCCAAGAAAACCAGTGCTCTTAACCACTAAATTGCCTCTCTAGTCCCTGCTTCAAATTTTATTTATTTATTTATTTATGGCTTTTTGAGATAAGGTCTCTGTCTTAGTTGGGGTTTCTATTGCTGTGAAGAGACACCATGACTGCAGCAACTCTTATAAAGGAAAATATTTAATTGAAGTTAGTTTATAGCTTCAGAGGTTTAGTCATGGTGGGAAACATGTTGGCATGCAAGCAGACAAGGTACTGGAGAAAGAGCTCAGGATTCTGTATCTCGACCCACAGGCAGCAGGAGTCTGTGTGTCACACTGGGTGTAGTTTGAGCAAAGAAGACTCAAAGCCCACCTCCACAGTGACACACTTGATCCAACAAGGCACGCCTACTCCAACAAAGCCACAGCTCTTAATAGTGCCACTCTTCACGGGGCCATTTTCTTTCAAACCACCATAGTCCCTCAAGTCCTGACTGTCCCTGAATTTGCTGTGTTAACCAGGCTGGCCTTGAACTCACAGAGATCTACCTGCCTCTGCCTCCCAATTGCTGGGATTAAAGGTGTGCATCACCACACCCTGCTCAATATTTTTTAATGTTAAAAAACGCTGTTTCTCAGTATCAAATTCAACTGAGACTTAATTCTTTGTGTAAAAATAAGCAGACAAATCTGCAATTTACTTTAGTCTTTAATAAATGATAAAATTATGTATATATATATATATATATACACACACACACAAACACACCAAAGAACTGTTTTACAATAATTTTTTTGTGATTTATTATTAGTAAATGATTGATTTGTCTATCTATTTTAAATGCCTATACACCTGAGATGACTTTAAAAATTCTCATGTGAAAAGAGTCCTAAAGAGTAAAGGAGCAAGGGATGTTAGGAGGTCTGGTCGTCTGTGATGATGTGTAGACCATTGAAGATGCTCTGCTTCAGGACGGTTTTAGCCAGCATGCTTGGCAGACAGCATGTTTGGCAGGCAACAGCATGCCACAGCAGCCCTCAGCACGTGAACCAGAAAGGCAGGGGATGACGGCGTGAGTAATACGTTCCTCTGTCTCTTCTCAGGGCTACTCAGATTAAGACCTACTCCTGGGACAACGCCCAGGTGATTCTGGTGGGAAACAAGTGTGACATGGAAGAAGAAAGGGTAGTCCCCACCGAGAAGGGCCGGCTCCTCGCAGAGCAGCTTGGTATGTACATGACAAGTGTGTGTGCAGTGTGTGTTTATGTGGGTAAATGTGCATGTGTGTGCGCTCACATGACAAGTGTGTGTGCCTGTGTGTGTTTATGTGGGTAAATGTGCATGTGTGTGCGCTCACATGTATGGGCGCACAGTGGAAGTGGAATAGATAGAGAACAGGAGTTTTTATTTGGGACATTAAGGTAGATTGTGATTATAATGACGCACCTGTGTGCCCTGTGTTCATTGTTTTATATCTGAGTCATATACACAGGGACTTTGTGCTCATGATTTTAGGGAATTCATCATTTATATATTTTCCTATAGTGAACATATGAATAAAATTTGAATATGTATAAATATATATACATATATATTATATAAATAAAATTTAAACACTCTTTTGGGATTTTTTTTTGCTGGTTTAGTTTGGTTTTGGTTTTTTGAGACAGGGTTTCTCTGTGTAGCCCTGCCTGTCCTGGAACTCACTCTGTAGACCAGGCTAACCTCAAACTCAGAGACCTGACTGCCTCTGCCTCCTAAATGCTGGGATTAAAGGTGTGTACCACCTCTGCCCAGCTGTGATTCACCCACAAAGGATTTGAGGTAGCTTCTTAAAAATAACTGCCAAGTGGGAATAACATAAATAAATGAGAAAGTTTTAGCAAGGGCAGGAGGAGGCCAAGAGGAAGCTAGAGTTAGTCAGTATGGATGCCACAAGTTCTTGGGCACCGACACCAGTACCAGCAAGAGGTAGGCCAAAATATTGTCTTTGGGCTTCCTAGCAACTACTACAAAGAGTGAAACGTAATCTTTTATGCAGTTCAGCATGTCCTTACTATAAAAAAACAAGCCTATTATTCCAGGGAAGCTCTGCTCTTCACTGGGAGCTGTCAAGCAGACTGTGCAGAAGGTGGCCGAATAATAGCACACTTTCTTCCGGAAACCGAGATGCCGAGCACAATCGGCCTTCCCTTGCCGTTTTTCCCTCACGTAAATGGATGCCTCTCACCAAAACACAATTCACACAAGGTCAGCACATAAAGAGGCAATACCATGCAGCTCAGGTCTGCAGCTCCGTTCTGCTTGGATTCTTCCCAAGATGGACGCATTTTGACCCCGGTGTTCCACTGAGGCCCCAATGCCCAGGCATGTCTCAGTGCCCTCACAGCAGAACCCGTACCTGTCATTGCTTGAAAGATCAGTTTTTATTATAGATACTGGGGTTCAATGTACGATTGCCAGGGAGTGGAGGAATAGTTCCTTCCATGTCTGCAGAAAGTTTATAGTCTTCCCCCAGAGCAGGGGTTCTCAACCTTCCTAATGCTGCGACCCTTTAATACAGTTCCTCATGTCGTGGTGACCCCCCAGCCTAAACTTATTTTGTTGTTCCTTCATAACTGTAATTTTGCTACTGTTATGAATTGTATATTATAAACACCTGATATGCTGGGAAAGGGTCATTCGACCCCCAGCTTGAGAACTGTTGCTATAGAGATTAGGTGGGCTTTTAGGCAGGTTTCCTACAAATCTGTCATTCTAAGTGTCTTTGTTGTTGAGGAATAGAGAGTGAAAGGTTAGACTCTGGCAGAGCACAGAGGGGGAGGCTTATAGGTGGCTAAGCTCCATGAGACGTAAGTGTGAATTGTGTGCTGTATTTCTTTCCTGTGCGTGTGTGTGTGTGTGTGTGTGTGTGTGTGTGTGTGTGTGTGTCTGTATCTCCACGGGTTGTACTTCTTCTCCACCCCTGTTAACCAAGATAGTCTGGACAGAGATGAGTAAACCCTAATGCTTAGGAGGAGGACTGGCTCATCTTGGGTCTTGCTGCTCCTTTCTCAGAGAGGGTCCCCAGTGCGGGAAGTGTCTCCACATTGTTCACAGAATGATAAGCATGCAGTGAAGCCCACACTTGGGTAATTTCAAGTTATCCCTTTATGCTTCTGACCTGCAACCCCTTAGAGATGGGCAGGATGCAGAACACAGACCAGCATGAGCGTGAGGAGGCACTGTAGACAGCCTTCGTGAACTGGTCAGGTTTAGACAAACAGGCAACCCATCCCTATGCTACAGCGCCTCCTGAGTTTCCCTATTCTGTTTGAATGGGGGATGTCTATTTACATATTTGTCTCTCTTCCTGGCCTTTGAGAACACAAAATATGTATGGTTTGTTTCATTCCAAGGATCTAGCTTCGGGTGAATATTCATATATTCCATTTATTTATCGAAAATTATGTATTGAGAGCCAGTAAGATGGCACAGGAAGTATAGGCTCCTGACATCAATCCTGACAACCTTCGTTCAAACCTCCAACATACACGCAAGTATTTTCTAAAAGAATAATATGTATTGAGCATATACTCTGAGCCATATTCTGCCCTGGCACTAAGGACATAATTAATGGGAGCATATGAATTTCCACTGTAAGGGAACTGACAAGGACAAAGATACTAAACAAATAATTATGTTATACAAACAAATAAAAATTATTTAAGTGGTGAATTGTACAGTATGTGAATTTCACCCTCAAAGAGCTATTGTTTGTGACTAATTATGATTAATAATCTTATTATAACTAATAAAAAATCTTCCCAAGAGCTAGGACCACAGGCATGCACTACTCTTCCAGGTTTTATCAGTGGTGGGGACTGATCCCAGGAGCTCATGCATGCTAGGCAAAGCATATTCCCAACCTGAGCTCTGAGCTCCATCCCCTGCCCCCAGAAAACAAAACTTTCCTACGTCATATAAGTAATGGGGGCAGGCTCAGTACTCAAACTTAGTCTTTAGGCTCAAACTTTTTTTTTCTTCAAGATAGAGTTTCTCTGTAACTTTGGAGCCTGTCCTAGAACTAGCTCTTGTATACCAGGCTGGCCTTGAACTCACAGAGATCTTCTTACCTCTGTCTCCCAAGTGCTGGGATTAAAGGCGTGTGCCACCACCGCCCAGTTAGACTCAATTTTTTTTTAATTTTTCCAGTGAATTTTTATTAGTAGTTGTGTCATGATTCAAGGTCCCTGCATAGGAACCATCATGTACGAAGGTCCCTGCATAGGAACCATCATGTACGAAGGTCCCTGCATAGGAACCATCATGTACGAAGGTCCCTGCATAGGAACCATCATGTACGAAGGTCCCTCTTTACTATCTGGGGAGGAGAGAGGACAGAGGAGAGGTGGGCAGAGCCAGGTCAGATCTTCCCAGGAAATGTGTCTTCTGCTCTGTGACAGTCATCCCAGGCCGAGACTGATGGTAAGGGGCAGCGGGACTTGTACACACACCAGTACCACTCACACCTGGAGACATAACCCACCCCACCCCACCCCTTTTGGTCATTGCCTTTTCTCAGTGGTAGAAATCCTAGTGGTTCTGCCAGCAGCTCTTGGCCTGGTTCTGGTTTGGGAAGGGGCTGTCAAACAGGGCAGATTATTTGTAATTCTTGGTTTTCGTCTTCTTGTCTTCAGCCCTGGTGTGACTCCTAAAGACTGCCTTGGAGCAGTGCAAGTTCACTGTGACCCTTAGCAAAGATGCCAATTTCAGAACTGGACACAAACTTTTTTTAAAAATGATATGACATGTAATGATATGAAATATTTTTATTGTTTTTATTGAGCTATGCATTTTTTCCTACTCCCCTTCATTCCTCCCCTCTCCCCTTCTACCCTCCCTGCCCCCTGCACTCCCAATTTACTCCGGAGATCTTGTCTCCTTCTCCTTCCTAAATGGATTTATATATGTCTCTTTTAGGGTCCTCTTTGTTGTCTAGGTTCTTTGGGGTTACAGACTGTAGGCTGGTTATCCTTTGCTTTATGTCTAATATCTGCTTATGAGTGAGTAATACTATATTTGTCTTTCTGGGTCTGGGTTACCTCACTCAGTATGGTTTTTCTAGTCCTGACAATTTGCTTGCAAATTTCAAGATGTCATTATTTTTTTGCTGCTGAGTAATATTTCATTGTGTAAATGTACCACTTTTTTTTTATTCATTCTTTGGTTGAGGGGCATCTAGGTTGTTTCCAGGTTCTGGCTATTACAAATAATGCTTCTATGAATATAGCTGAGCAAATGTCCTTGTGGTATGAGAGCATCTTTTAGGTATGTGCCCAAAAGTGATTTTTGGGTCTTGAAACTCAATCAAACTCTTAATGGTCTCATCACACTCTACCACATTTCCACGAAGCCTGCCATAAATTCTCTTCAAATTTGCACCATTGGTAGAACATTATTGAGATTCCTTTATGTTGTGATAACACATAACTGGAGTCAGCCTTCATGAGAAAGATCTACTTATCATTGACGTTATATGTCAACTGTTAGTTGGTTGGGACTGTCTTCCTCATGTCTTCTGGGATCCAGTCCAAGCTGGCTAAACAAGGTTCTTAAAACTTCTGTTAGGACTTGGATCACATCACTTCTACCAATTTCCATTGGCTAAAGCAAGTCACATGATGGAAGAATTAGAGACACTGCAAGCCAGTTGGCAATGGGGGGAGGTGGAAAATCCCTTGTAGAGAGAGCTGTGGATTTTCTGCCATCTCTTCTGAGCACTTGATGGGTCCTGGGCACAGAAACAAATGGGTTCCCTGCTTTTAAGATGCTTATGACCCGAGAAACAATACTATAAAAAGAAATGTCAGCATCCTCAACAAATTTAACTTTCCTCATTTCCCATGTCCCCTCTGCAAGGGAGACTAACTTTTTCAGAAAGTATTTTCTCTGCGTGTGGCTTCTAGTTGAGCCTAGCTATAGGGCAGAGGATTGAAGAGGGAGAGAAGGAGAAGCCTGGGTATCCATCCCACCCTCTCTCTTGGCAAGCTACATCAGCATGGCCCGCCTTTGCCTCTAGTAATTTCATAACGATGTTCATTTGTGGATGAGCTCTAGATTTCCTCCATTCTGTCTTTCTCTGCAATTCCTTCACCACCCATATAGCCAACTGCTTTTTATTTAAATGAGAAGAGTCACTTCCGTTTTCTTGATTGGTATCTACGTGAAACAATTCTGTTGAGTGCC